TTAAACTGTAATAACAGTTTACTACGGATTTCTTAAAATATTATAAATAATATTAAATATGCCAACAGCACTCAATAGTTAAAAGTGGATCACATGGTTCGCTAAATTACTTTGCAAAAATATTGTGGTTACTCGTTRATAATTTAAAACATATTTTATAAATGGTTTTCAATTTACAATAATGTTATACAATTTGASCAATGAGTACACTGATGTACTAAAATCAAAGTGTAATACCTGACTARTTATAATAATGATAAGATGCATGTAAAAAAACACATTGTTTAAGGTTCACAAATATCGAACTAAATAGGTTCTGCTGCAGTTTAAGACGTAATAGAAACGTTTTCATGAAATTTATTTCAGGATTTTAATCCTCAGTTTGTTTCGATCAAACAGAATTTCGTAATATCTATACAGGCTTGCAATAAGTGAACATATTTTATTCAAAAAGTGCATTACAAACCATAAACAAACCATATAATATACAAATGGGCAACTAGTATTATGGACGCGGTAATACGTGGAAGGTATTTAATTTAAAATTTTACAACGAAAGGTCGTAAGTTCTGCCGTCGTTTCACTTAAATACTGTTTTATTCTATATAAACAACAACTTACTGGCTCTTRGGTATGAGTACGTTGCAATTATAGAACGAAATGATAAGAATGACGATGGAAATAAGCGAGGCATGAGAAATTGCATATTATAACATTGAACATGCACAATACTGTGTATCTATACTTACACCAAAATGCGTGTGTGCTGCTAGTGCACGACTAATGGCTTTCTCGTGTTTTGTCAAASCTAATATGATTTTAGTTCTCTATTTTTGCATCCAAACAGAATTGAACAAATCTTCAGTTTAAGACATGACATTATAATGTCCATAACATGCATGAATATTTACTTTTTATAATGCTCATTACTACTGTAATAATTGTCAAACCATWATAGTTATATTATGCTAAAGTTTCCAAAATAAAAATAATAATAATGGTCACTGCTATACTTGCAGTCATTGTTCCTATAGGTGTTATTATTGTTTAAAGTATTAATTGTTTTTTTCATCRTTCATATTTTGCTTAAACAAATAATCCATGCTAGCAACTTATTTTATGAAACGGATTTTCAAACATTTACTGAATCTGATAAGTATGTAAAAAATGCATCTACTTCATTTAAATTGCGTATGGTTTTAGGTCGTAACAGAATAATTATAAGCTWTATTAAATGAGGTCCTTAAATTTACTTATTATACAGAATAGTATTGATACTTTTAAGTTTATCACTTTTATGGGACTACTTCTGTGCATAAATTATCAATAAACTGACAATTAAATCCCTAAGCCAAAATCTCCCGATATGAAAGTTACTGTTAAATAGCCTGCAAATCAGATTTGAACATTTTCAACAATATAAGAACAGTTTAAAAATATAAACAAATGATATGATATTATATTGTACGTGGTGGGGAGGAGGGAGTGTCTGAATTAAAAGTGTTTGTTTGAAATAGTAAGTGATTAAAATCTATTTTGTATTTTGCTACGTATAGATAATAATATTATTTAAAACAATTGTCTAATATAATAATTGAAAGTCACCGATTTTTCTCTATAAGCTAATGTTGTACTAGGATAATGTGTGTTGGTTGAAAAATTGTTTACACATATCACATTATAAAATTGTATTTATAATAATTAATAACATTGTGGTTATTGGTAGTGAGAAATATGAATTTTATATGTTAATGGTAGAAACTAAACAATGTATATAGTTGATCTGTTAAGAATTTAATGGAAGAATACTTCACTTAGAGTATATATTTYATGTGGAAATGATGGAAGCTCGTTGACAAAAAACAAAAAAAAATTATAATTATAGATCACGTTCGTCCAAACCGAAATGCAAACACTGTTTCGGCATCTACTCTAATATTGAAGGTAACACAGTAACACAACGTATCAAAAATTACAATTTGAAAATTAAATTGAAAAATTCTAAGACAACGTTTCTACGTATTTCTACGATTCTGAGCCTTCGTAAATATAAATTACAACACGCGCAGACACTCATATAATTAGGTAGTTATCTATCTATCTATTTGAAAATAGATGGTAAATGTCAGAATGTTAAATGAATGTCTGCAATACGTAAAACGGTAAAACCCATTTGTAAAATGTGTGTATATAATGTGTATTGTGTGTGGTGTAAAATAATAATTAATAACAATTTAAGTTGAAAATGTCATTTGAGTCTTGTGTTGCAATATATTGAAAACGCATAAGTAAGTACCTATACCATATAATATGTACACCACGTTTCCTTTGGGCCTTTTAATAAAATAATATAATTTAAGTATGTTAAGATATTAAATTTAAGTTTACCACAAATAAGATGAATCACTAGTTTTTTGTCGTTTYATATTAATATGAAAAAAATATTATAAGTTATGTATTTTAATTATGTTATATATAATTATTAATTATCTACAGGTCCTTATCAATACATTTATGCATATATTTTACATCTAAATTGAAATTAATTAATTATCTTGGTTTGTCTCCACGTTAGAATATAATWTACACTGTTTGTTAATTACTCTGGGATATGATTTTACTGACCTTAAATCAATTATTTCGATAACAGAGGCTTGTTACTGATTGTCAAACTTCCATTAGATAGGAAAGTAAAAGCCATTATTCAATAATTATTATTATTATTATGAGCATCATTCAAAGGTTTGGCCAACAGTTACGTCTGAAAAGTTAGGTACTGTGGAATTCAATACCTATATTTGGATATGCATTAAAATATATTTCACTCCAGTTTCTACTATTTACTATTAACATGATGTCCTAAATATTTTTGTTATTATAAAAATATTGGATATAATAATTTTACAATTTAAAATGAAATAAAGTGTTTTTAATTATTTTTTTACACAATTAACAAATTGATATTATATATTTTTTTTATATTAATCAATAAAATACTTCCTATTACAAAATATTTTAGTTATCATTGTTTAATTTATGTTAATTTTCGTTATATAGATATTTAATAGAATATTATTAGAAATATAATTTAAAATTTAAAGTTAATATTACGTTTCAAATGAAAAATATAAAAATTGATGATTTAATGATTAATAAATTAAACAGTATTTTATAAAATTATCATGAATTAAGAATAAAACAAGACTAGGTACCAATTGTTCTAAACCATTTATTATATGCGTTACTTAAAAATATATTTTCTTGTTGTTTACAACATAAGTAGTAACTTAGTTATTTATGTAAACATTTGGTAGTTCTATTTAATTAAACACATTAGAGGAAAATAAAATATAAAYCCTGTTTATCAGTTTATCTTACCCATTGATATTTCTAAAYATATGAGTGCATGATTTTACACAAATGAGAATTGAGAGCATAGGAGTAGTGCCCGACAGTGGTCAATTTATGTTCAGTTTTGACTAAAGATCCCTGAGGGCACTTTTGGGATTGTTCGACTAATTTATACTTGGTATGTACCTATAGACAAGCCGAATATCAATAAATCAGTAATTTATCCATTGGAAGATAATTATGAAGTAATTCCTAAGTCATGTKGTACACAAATAACATATTATGTAACATTGACTACATACTATCACAGATATAAGTTCGTAAATCAATTAAATGCGTGGAACTTTATTCGATTCATTTAATTTTAAAGCCATTGAATGCTAAGAATATAATATAATATTAGCGTACAATATTTGGTATAAATGAGAAAACTCTGATTTCATCACTAATAAATATATTAAGCACAAAGACTTTGAATCAACTACATCATTATTGGCTGGCTTATATAAATGTATTATTATTATTATTATTTATATCGCTTTTCTTATTTTATTTATAAAGAAAATCACTAAACGATGCGATATTTCAAGACTGCAGACAAAGGTTCAACGAAATGCTCACTTTAAACATTTTATACACGCACAGGAAGGCATAGCGAATTAAGAGCTCTATAGTATAAAAGAATCGTAGACCCGATATCTGTTTTAACTTAAAAGATGGTATACGCAATACAAATAATTATATTTTGTAGTCCTTAAGGTAGTTTGCCGGCAGTCCAAAGTACTAAGAATTAAGATACGCATACTTTTTTTTTATATATATATATATAGTAGGTACAAGAAATACAGAAATATATGTCCTTTAGCTATATTGATTCAATAATTATAATATTAATGAAAATAATTAAGACGAATCCAATGGATTTATCAAGTCAAACATTAATCATATTTAGAAAATTATTTGAGTTTTACTCGTACCTACCTATGCTCTTATGTAAAAATATAAGTGTACACTCATTCACGAATTGAAAAATACGATATCATTTTGAAACGTCAAAAAGTGTATTAAATAGTTTGTTTAATCAAACTAATTATTATTAAAGTTCTTACAACAAACAGACCGAAGTTAAAATAAAAATACATCTAGATAGAYGATAATGTATAAATAATGACTACGAATGAGTGTAATATACCTATACCACAATACAACGAATATACGTTTAACTAGTTATTTTTAAATATGTATTATGACATAGTTTAACTGCTGACATAAAATGTTATCCTCTGAATAAGTTGTTGAACTATCTTATTTTCGGTTTATTGGATTTATACGTAAGCCTTCTGCAGTGACACTCATCCAGATGTGAATTAAAGAGGAGTAAAGACCTCACGGATCGCATTTCACGCCACAAAAATGGTATTTTATATAGTACTTTTGTTTTTTCATATTTTCCTTGCGTGTGTATATATTTTTTTATGTCAGTACCTTTCTTGATACTTGAGCCAACAATAAAAAMTACGACTCTCCTTTTACTTGTTAAAAACTAAACTAAACACCAGCAGTTAAGGCTGTCGGTATAGTGTCAAATGAAAAGCGRACGAAACAAAAGTACAAAGACCGAAAATCAATTGTAAATAAGATTCAAATACTTTGTAATTTCCCAAATTGCTGACGACACAAGGCAGGGAAACGTCCCTTCCCACGGGTATCGTAACGTTTGGAATAGGCTCTGCAAACTTGGGTTCCAACACCGATAAAACTGTAACAAAAAAAAAAAAATGTGAATATTTATTCGTACACATACGTGATAATTTATTTGCACAACAATTGTAAACAAGTAAATGGCCATAAATTACAAAAAAAAAAAAATGCAACAGAAAGATATTTTGTTTTGTTTTGAATCTATCAATTTTTAATAAAGTATCTTCCCCATATATCGATTTCGAGTAAAATGCATAACGTTCCAGTATAACATTTTAGTAAACGCTAAGTGTTATTATTGGTTTATTTTTTCAAATTAAACCCATTCAATGCTAAATAAAATTAAATCAGTTTTTATAACTTGAGTATATTTTATTGTTCTAATGAAAATCRCAACATTTTCATATTAGATTATTTCAACATTGATTAAACATTTTCCAAAATCAAACTAATTTTAGTACTTAATAATACGTATATTATATATACTTAAGATACATATTATTATATACACTCATCATGACTATAAGTTTTAAAATTTTATTAAAAATACAAAAAAAACATATCATATCATGGAAAATAAATACATARTATTATTAGATTATTCACTAAATCGGTGATAAAATGCATTACAGTTTAATTAACAAAATGTCTTTTCATCAATGATAATGGTTAATTTTATATTTAAGTTGAAAACTATAAAAACATAATTAGACAATTACTATATAATACGTATAATTGAATTACATTGAAAATCCAATGACATGCGTATTCAAAACCACATAAGTTTGCTTTTCGAGTGTATAAAACAATTATTATTATTTTTAAATATTAACACTCTCTGCAAAGTATACGGAAATTGCAGAAAAATTCGCATTTATTTCCAAGCTAGAGATACGTAGTATAACTTAAAATGAACCTATTCACTTTTACGAACAATTTTTACCCGACTAATTGATTAATCAATCATCAAACATGACTAATAAATGTATTAAATATACAATTATTTACATTAAAACACATACATGCGTACAGTTATCTAAAATAATAAAAGAGCTTTTATTGGACGTCACGTCACCACTATAATAATTAGAATTACACCGGAACTGTCCAAATCGCTGGAGGTTATAATAGTAATATAGCTTATTAGAAATGTATTATCAAATTAAATCTTAAACGCATACACATCATACAATAATCACACCATTACGCGCGATGGTGAAGACAGTGCGCGTATATACTTTCGTATGTTATAATATTATGCACGATATCCCGTTAAAACTTAATTGTCAAGTACGTAGATGCACTCGCTAATATCGTTTAATTCTAGACACGCACAGCACTGTTTTAAATACTGCGCACCAGATAAAATGTATTCCAAATTACCGTTCACTCCGCCAAGTCTCCTATAAATTAAGTCGACGGCTCGACAAACAGACGGATAACGACGGACGAAATAAACGGCTTTGAAACTCAAATACCCGACGACGACGACGACGGTCCAGCTATAGTAAATAATATTATATCGAGCCGAAAGAAGAAATGAATAGGCACAATGGGTACCTAATTATTACAATATCTTCTGCCAGATTAGTATGTACAGTAAGCAATATGGTTCCACGCGATAAGTTTATCTCGACCGTGACTTGAATGTGAAAAAATATATTTTAGTTTGCCGCACCGCACTAGATTTCTAATTTAAGTTTCAAAATKTATGTATTGATTTCGTATAATGCTAAATACCTATCTATAGATAGTGTGACGTATTATAACTAATCTATTTCGTTTATCAATATAAATATATAAAATAGTAATAACACCAGTTAGAAAAATCCTGGGTATTTTAATATTGAAAATCTAAATAAAATATTAAGTGTTGTAACCCTTCGAATTTTTTTAATACCGATACCGACGTAAAATTAATTTACTCAAAATATATCAAACGTAAATGTTGKTCGACAACTAACAGAAATTGCGTTATATCAAATCCTTCGATTTTGTTATTTAAACGAAAAATCAAAAACAGTTTTAACGTGACCTCGGAGGGCAAAACGTCACAAAGATCTATCTCCCCGCATTCACTCGTGAAACAGCGTTTCACTCTATTTGGATTTCTCAGGGGATGTTTTTAGGTTCAAAACACCTTTATACATATATCGATAAATCTGATTTGAAAACGCGTTCAAAAAACACAGATCGGTGACGGATTCATACACTCTTGACCACCGTTCGGTCCATACATCCATACACATATACGATGTATATAATATGAACAACACGCTGAGGCTGAGCACGATGATTACATATTTCGCCGTGTGCCCTGTAAAAACAGTTATTAGATACGCGACGACTTGTTTACGATTATCGGTGGTATATTCTGTGCAAGGGGATACATCAGCAGACAATTCAGTCGGTTTCCTATAATAGTAGTTTATCCTGAGCTTAAGGCCACAGCCGCTGTAGGCTCATAGCTCTTTGGTTAGTTAATGTAGTTTTTATGGGCCCCGTAAATAAGTTTCTCTAATATGACTATTATTTGGAACTGGCGGGACGATATGACTTCACCCGTTTCGCCGCCCACCTGTTTTTTGGCTATACCCGGGAAGGGTTTCCTCCCACCACTCGTCGCGGCTGCAATGAATCCGCTGGATGTGTGTATAGTGCACGGGATTGCGGTAAGTTCAGACACCGGCGGTACAATGGAGGGGTGCCTGTGAGAGAGAGAATGTATATGAGACTGGGAGGAAGCATACGGGCGGTGAGAATGGTAAAGTGAGAACGGGGAAAATACAGATGGCGAACCCCGCGTGGCGGGAAGGAGTRGATAAAAACAGAGGGTGAGTCGGATGGGATGTAGATAAAGATAGAGGGAGAGACGGTTGATCAACGAAATGGCTGCTTGTAATGAGAATAAACGATCTGACGTATAAAAACCATCTGGTTCCACTGGATGCTTTTTTCCTGCTTTTACTTCCTTATTTCCTCAAAAACATCGTGCGGTAATAGCTCGCGTGGCAGAAGCCACGACGATAAACGTTGAGACGACCATAACTGAGATCATGACCTTTTTTACACCTCGAAATAAGTCCCGTTTCCATTAGTCATTTGTGACTGCAACCACATACCCTCACGGTAGATCACAGTTCCAAACGTTGTACCACCTCTCGCTGACAACCAACCAACCAAAAAAAAAAAAACAAACAAACTTATATCTATTAAAAATAATGTACGTTAATATTTCAATTTTATTAAAATACGTAAAAATTATACTACGAAAAAAATAATTACTCCACAAGTTTAAACTTTCTCGTTGTCGCATTAGGGTCTCCCGCGAATCATGTTATCAAGTTTTAAACTAATTAATTTTGCTGTACAGTTTATGGTATATTAAATTACGTTCTGACTAAAACGAATTATTATTGAACTAATATTGAAGAATATAATTTACTATTTAGCATTTGCTACACTAGAAAAATATATTGCATATTATGTAGATAGTATTTTAAATATATTATATTCGGTACATAAATGCACTTACAATGAATCCTCACTATAACGACCACCAAAGGGAAATTAAAGGGTGTCCGCTAACGAAGGTTACAGTGTATAAAAATATTACAAAATYAATACGGTCAACAAATAAATATTGACAATCCATCACATATTGAAGTAGTGAAGTCTTACCAGAGACACCGATAACTGTCAYACATTAAGTTTTGTCTCGGCGCTTGGACCTCTCACTCTCACGCGTTGGTTGTATGCGAAGTGCGAGAGAGGAGAGAGACAAAGCTACAAACTGCAGTTTTGTGAGTTTCATTTTTCATTCCGTGGATCCGTCGTACTGTGGTATATTATTATAAGCACCGCACTCACCTAACCTCACCAAACCCTAATCTTCACCCGTTTCCATCAACTCTTGCCGCATTGGCGTTTTTCTTGCTCAGGACCTCAGTCTACTGTGTTTCCCCAAAATTCCAAAATTTTGTGCTGAATAGGCATATTGTTAAAAAATTTTCTGAACGTTGAGAGAGAGTGAACTCATTCCCAAATTTTAATGTCTTGACTTGAAAATATATCAATTCAAAAAATTTCAAGATGTTCAACTGAACAAACGTTGAAAAAAAAATTACTAAAGAACGGCGTTAACCTAGCCTCRAGAAATTGGCCATAAATCGGAGTCCTCAACTTTTTTACAAGTTAATCTGACTGACTCAAATTTTTATTGACAATCTGTAATTCGCGCCGTTTTGTGTTAATTTTTTTTGTCAATGTTTTTACAGTTGAACATCTTGAAATTTTTGTGAATTGATATATTTTCAAGTCGAAGCATCAAAATTATGCAATTCAATTACTTTCTTATTAACCTCAAAATTCAGTACATTTTTCAACAATATGCTTTTTCAGCACAGAATTTGGGTATTTATTTCACTTCTTTATTAACATATTTTCTTCCAATCGCTTTAATTTACGCACAGACAATTTTTTACTTTTCTGAAGTAATTTTTTGTGGTTATAATATACGTATATCATTATATAGTAATTCGTAATAATATGATATCGTAAAACATTAATAATTTCAATCAGTTATTATTTCTACCAATGCTGGATTAGTAGGTTGAAAATAAAATGATTTATAAAACTAGCCAGTGTGTAGAGTATAATTTAGACCATTTTATACCAATAAAATTTAATAGAAATGAAAAAATGAACGTAGTAACTAGTAGATACTGTGTGAATAAAATAAACGCAGCTTTTTTCATATTGTACTTTAAAAACTCTACAGTGTATTAACTGTATTATATTGTCATTTTTAAGCCTCTTTGTTTACTTTACGACTTGAATGTATAACTGTATTGATTACAATATTTTATTTAATATTCATTGATTAAACTAAATATTTACAATTAGAAGTATTTTATTTACTAAACGCATACAGTTTTAACTTTATCTTAACTAATTTCTAATAAACTTTGAGTGATGTTTAAATTTCTTGAGCCAAAAGTAAAACAAAATGTATTTAATTTATATGAGTTTCTTGTTATCTAATCAACCCGTATATAA